TATATGCTTAATCCCTGCAATTGCGTATTATATACGCATAATATTTGTACCCATTTTCCTGATGAAGAAGTTGTAGAGGAGTGCGAGTTAGTGAGTAAATTCATGAACTATATAAATACTTTGTAAAATGTATTCAATAATGCTTAATTGATGATCTGCAAATGAAGCAGAGAATTCTTAGTGATTGGTGGTGCAAAAATGGTAAAAAATCGTCAGTTGACAATGTTTAACAAATAATAAGCATTATGTTTTGGTATTACAAACTTTATTCTTTTTATGTATGTATAAAGTAAATCTCATAGAATATTAAAGGGCTTGGAATGTTTCTTGAAAACTTTTATACATAGGAAGCTGAGATTTCATCTGGAAAATATAAAAAAAATTGCATATTCCCAAGCTGGCTTTAAAGTTGTGCTTGATTATCAAAAGTTGAAATTTTTAATGGTTGTAGCTACCATTTGCTGTAAATAGATATGACTGCTGCAAATAGATGCAGTTGCCATAAATAGATACAACTGCCACAAATATATACAACTGCTGCAAATAGTGCAAATAGATGTGATTGCTGCAAACAGATACAGCTGCCACAAACAAATATGGCTGCCACAAACAGATACAAATGCCACAAATAGCTGCAAGTTTTATTTTTACACATAGTTTTATTACCAACTAATTGAATTCATCAATTACATTCAAAAAAATTCAGTTACTACATAATGACAGTAATTGAAAACTATTTGCAACAGCCATAGTTATTTGTGGTAGCTGTATCTATAAAGGTGCAAACGTATGAATACTGAGGATTACAACATTAATATGGCACATGACAAGTGTTGTATGCCATATTATCACCAAGCAGATGAATGGGACACATAAGAAAATTTTATTTAAAGTCCGTGTGGTGGGATTATTACTTATACTAATCTTTCCACAATGGATTTTAATGTTTTTATATGTGAAACAAAAATGTAAGGTCTGGAAAGATAGTACCCTGTGACATTGTCTTTTTAGTAAATTTTATGGTTTGTCACGCACAATTTCTAGAAAATTGATATTTGTCACGGGAGCTACCTTTCCAGACTTTACGGTATAGTGTTTTGACTGTACCTAGATTTATTTTTGATTACCTAATTCGGGTTGGCACCACTTAATATTAAAAGAAAAGATAAACAGTTACGGCATACGGAAATCTTTTCAAGTACAAGGGTTACGACATAGTTACGACATAGCCGTGTTATAACTATGAGTTATAAGTTCGACAATATGTCTGCACCTCTATGTATCTATTTGCGGTAGCCGTAGCTATTTACGTCAACTGCATCTGTTTGCGGCAGCCGTAATTATTTACGGATACCAACAGCTATTTACGGCAATGGTAGCTACCAGCCCAATCATTCACGGCAAGTGTCTTTAATCTGCCCTCTTCTTTATGTCTTTGAAATGGTATTTTTTATTTGTTTGATGCTTGATGTTTACTTTTAGTTAAAGCCTAAAACATTTTTTTTGTTAAGAATATTTTAATTATCTAATTCATTATTATAGTTAGAAAATTTGTTGTTTTTAAAAAAAGTTTGATTATTTCAGACGAAAATTTAATTTATACAATTTATGATCTTACAGAGGATAGGTGACTTTACAGAGGTGTGATTGTATGTATATTGAATAAAATTGGCCAAATTTTTAGATTTTAATTATCCTACATAGTAAATATGTTTACCTTTGAGGGCAACTATAAATCACGTCGTAGCATAAATCTTGGTAATAAAAAATCACAAGAGAACAAGGATTCAGTAGTGAAAGATGCCCGAGATCGTCGTAAAGAACGTGAAAATGAACGTTCAAGACAGAAATCTGCTGCAAAAATTCAAGTATGTGTGTTTTAATTTCCTTTTTTTTCTAACGAATTTTCCTAAATTTCTTTTTTTTTTATAAAAACAAAATAATACTCAGGCATTTTATTATGGAAGAATTGAAGCAAGAAAGTTACGCTCACAATTGCGTGAAAATTGGGACAATCAGTCAAAAATAATTTTACAGAACGTTAAAAACAAACGTGAGATGGCTTTATCATTGATAACATTTGTTCGGAAATTTTTATTTTTCTATCAACTACACCATGATAATGATCGTAAAAAATTATTGTCCAACATTTTACTTCAAAAATCATTCGGTAATTAATATTACTCCCTTTATTTTTTTTAAAAAAACATTTTACTAAATTTATTTTTATTAAATTGTTATTGTTATAGACTCTTATATTTTGTTTGTTCCATTTGTCTTTAATGATTTATATGAAACTTGGACATATCAATTAAAGAAAACATTACTAATATTTGTCAAATCCATTGGATCAAATGAGATGTAATGAGTTATGAAGGCTATTAAGAAACAATTTTAACTATAT